GTGGGGGTCCACTCTTGGGCCCACCCGCGGGGAACAATATGTTGGTGTTTGGGGATTTGTTCCCTGTGATTCTTTTGACTCGATATTTGGTCTTTTGACTTCCCGATGTTCTTTTGTGGAACTATTTGAGCGTTTTCTTAATGTTTCGTATGTCTAGAACTATGTGGTAGGATTCCATGTAGGTTTTGGTGTCTTGTATCCTGCTAAGTGTTCAACATTGCGATTCGTTGAACCGTGATGAGTCTTGTGTGTTCTACGGAACTACGTTTGGTTTACCCGTTTGATAAGCATGCTAGTTCGGCGTTTAAATGCTAGCATGTGTGTTGTTTGTCCTTTCCTAATGTTGATGATGACTTGTGTTAATCATCGTTGTTGTTAGATTGTGATCCATTCCTTGACTGAGTCTGGTTTCATATCTTCGTTGTAATCCGTTGATTGATTCTTGTTGTGGTGTGGTGTGTGTGGTTGTACCTGGATTGCACGATTAATGGTATGGGACATTAGTCACCAAGGTACGGTAGTGGTCCTCGTGGTGGCCATGACGCGATAATGGAGTCTGTGACCTTTGAGTAAGGTTTACATATTTTTTTCTAGGATAACATGTGTTATCCAGGGCATGTTTTGCCATGTGTGATCGGTTCCCTCGTGTACTATGAAATCGGTGGTATTGTTGGAGGCTGTCGAAGAGGGGACGACGGTCCTCGGAGGAATAAGGTTGGACTTGGTGTACAGGGGTCCTGGAGGTAAAGGTTGGAACTAGATATCAGGTTGGGGGTAGCCATAAGGTTGGAACCGGGCATAAGGAAGGCATATCAATTCGTGATGGGTGATGTCACGAAGGCTTGTGTAGCCGTTCTTGTGTAATTCTCTATTTGTGACATGTGTTGTCACAAAGGCATGTGTTGCCTAGGCATGTGTTTCCGATTGTTGTGTCCTTACTCTCTTGTGCTATGCATGTCGAGTGTTAATCTACTGTGTGATGGTAGATTATGCCTTGAGCTGTTCTTGTAAGTCGTTATTATCTCTTGTTGTCTTGGGATGTGTTCCCTTGTTTTTGTTGCGAGCGTTCAAAGTCTTGTGTTGACTTCTGCTCTTGGTTTTGAACTTATATATGTAATCCGTTTCGCAAATGATTTTATGTATATATATATATATATATATATATATATATATATATATATCCTATCTATGTATGATATTTCACATGTATTGGTGGGTTACTAGCATCATTCGCTGACCAGGCGTCGTCCCATATTTTATGTGCTTCTTTCTGGTGCTGAGTATTTGAGAGCGCGATCTAGAGACTGTTAGCATATATCCCTTGAACTTGAGACGTTTTGGCCTGTGTGCCGATGTTAGACTTTAGTTCTCTTGTCTTTGACTTGTTTCAGATAGTGGATTTTGTGCAGATGTTTACGTCTGTGTGTTCACCTTTGGGTGGGCGTGGAATAGCACCGTATATTTCCTATTTATTCCATGTTTAGTCTTCCGCTACGTATCTTATTGTGGCTAGTTATCTGCATGATTAAGGTTTAATTTAGCTTGTAAATCAGGGGTGTTACAGTTGGTATCAGAGCCTAGGTTTGAGCCTAGGTTGCTAGAGTCTAGACTTCTAAGTGGCGAATTGTGGTTTGAGACCTTAAGGTGACCATAAGAATCTAAGTGTTTAGGCTTAGGATGCTAGGATGCGCGGTGAGCTGAGCGTTGTTTATAGTGCTTGCTTGTTTGTTGTCTTGTTGGTAACAATGTTGTTGTTGTAGAAGTTTGCGATGCTTCCTCGTCAGCGTACCGCGATGTTCGGAGATACGGGTGAAGTGGTTAAGAAACCTAGGATGGCTGGAATTAGTAACACTTCTGGTGTGATCATGCAATGGATCTGGAGTGCCACGTCCACTCGAGTAAGCCCCAGCACAGCTACCTTGCCGGCATCTCGGGATTTAAGAGGAAGTGGGGGGATAGAGATCCAGCGTCCGGCGGAAGAATCACCTCAAGAGAAGACCCTCATCCTAAGTGAAGCTCGGGCGGGTGACAGTGACGTGGTGATCGGGACTTTTCTCGTGCAATCCGTCCCAACGATAATCCTATTTGATTCTGGAGCGTCTAATTCGTTCGTAGCTCCTGAGCTCGTGAAGAAATTGGGCTTAACCGGAGGCATCAGAGTGAAGTTAAATGTTAAGGTGGCATCAGGAGAGGTTAGGACCTGCGATAGACTCTTCAAAGGCGTCAAGATAAACATCAGTGGAGAGGAGTTTCCCAGCGACTTAATCCAGTATGATTTGGATGGGATAGATGTGGTCCTAGGCATGGACTGGTTGGGACGGTTCAGAGCTCAAATCTTGTATAATGAGCAGAAAGTGGTCTTGCGAGGGCCCAGCGGAAAGAGAGTGTCGTACCGAGGGTCAATAGAGGAACCAGGAATGAAGTTAGTATCGATGCTGAAGATGAAAAAGTACGAGGAGAAGGGCCATGAGATCTTTTTGTGCTCCGTTGAGAATCTAAAAGCGAAAGGGGATGCGGCTCAGACCATACCTGTTGTATGTGAATTCCTTGATGTCTTTCTCGAGGAGATTCCGGGTATGCCTCGTCCGAGAGAAGTGGAATTCTCGGTGGATGATCTCTTACCGGGTACGGCGCCTATATCCAAAGCTCATTATCGGTTAGCACAAAAGGAAATGCAGGAGTTGAAGACCCAGCTACAAGAGTTGTTAGACAAAGGCTACATCCAGCCGAGCACGTCGCCGCGGGGAGCTCAGGTGCTGTTTGTGAAGAAGAAAGATCGGAGCATGAGGTTGTGCATTGACTACCGCGAGCTGAACCAAGTCACTATCAAGAACAAGTATCCCCTACCACGAATTGACGATTTGTTTGATCAACTCCGAGGCGTCGGGGTGTTTTCCAAGATTGACTTAAGATCGGGATATCATCAGTTAAAGGTGGCAGATAGGCACATTCCTAAGACCGCATTTAGGACTCGATATAGCCATTACGAGTTCACGGTGATGCCGTTCGGGTTGAAAACGCCCCCGCAGTGTTTATGGATCAGATTAACCGAGTTTTCAAGCCTCATCTCGACGATTTCGTGATCGTGTTCATCGACGACATCCTCGTGTATTCTCGGGGTAAGGAAAAGCATGTAGGGCATCTTATACGCCAAGCTTTCGAAGTGTGAATTTTTGAAGGATAGTGTGGCATTCTTGGGGCACGTGATTGATAGTAAGGGTATCTCGGTGGATCCGGATAAGATATGGGTGGTGAAGGAATTGACTGTGCCGACATCGGTGGCGGAAGTCAGAAGCTTTCTTGGTTTAGCAGGCTATTACCGAAGGTTTGTGTTGAATTTTGCTAAAGTGGCTCAACCCCTGACTAAGTTATTGAGGAAGGAAGTGCCTTTCCTTTGGGATCAATCTTGTGAGCTAGCATTTCGGGAATTGAAAGAGAGACTTACGACCGCACCAGTTTTAATCTTGCCATCCGGGACGGAAGGGTTTGAAGTGTACATCGATGCATCCAAGAAAGGATTAGGTTGTGTGTTGAAGCAAAACGAGAGGGTAATCGCTTACGCCTCGCGTTAACTTAAAGTACACGAGGAGAATTATCCCACACATGATTTAGAGTTGGCAACCGTAGTGTTCGCCTTGAAGATTTGGAGGCATTATTTGTATGGAGTGCGTTGCAAGATCTTCATGGATCACAAGAGTCTTAAATATATCTTCACACAAAAGGATCTTAATATGCGTCAAAGAAGGTGGTTAGAACTCATCAAGGACTATGAGCTGGACATCCAGTATCACGAGGGAAAAGCAAACGTGGTGGCGGACGCTTTAAGCAGGAAGTCTAAACATGCCATTAGTTCCATTTGGGTAGTGGCTGACGAGCTTTGCAAGGAGTTTCAACGGATGAACCTAGAAGTGGTGGAGCAAGGCAGAGTTGAGTCGGAAGTCCGTCTTTACAACTTAAGGATCGTACCTACACTTTTGGAAGAAATCAAGGAGGAGCAACTAAGAGATGCAAGCTTATTGAGGGCAAGGGATGATCTGACCAAAGTTAGAGGAGGACCGTTTGAGTTGTCTACGGATGGAGAATTGAGGTACAAGGGCCGTTTGTGTATACCTGCAACATGTGATTGGTTGAAGCGTCAGATTTTGGAAGAAGGCCATAATACACCCTACTCGATTCACCCCGGAGGCGACAAGTTATACAAGGATGTGAAAAGTCTCTTTTGGTGGCCTAATATGAAGAAGGAGGTAGCGGAGTTTGTGGGAAGATGCTTAAACTGTCAAAAGGTTAAAGTAGAGCGTTGTAGGGTCAAGGGATTAGTGCAGCCGTTGGAAGTTCCACAAGGAAAGTGGGAGGTCTACCGGTGACCCGCACCGGCAAGGACAAGATTTGGGTGATAGTTGACCGGTTGACTAAGACTGCTCGCCTTATCGCGATAAAGGAAACGTGGACGATGACGCAGTCGGCCCAAGCCTATGTTAATCTGGTGATGAAGTATCATGGGGTTCTGAGGGATATCATCTCCGATCGGGATCCAAGATTCTTGTCTCAGTTTTGGAAGTCCTTACAAGCAGCTCTTAGGACCAAATTAAATCTCAGTACCGCCTTCCATCCGGCCACAGACGGACAAACAGAGAGGACCATGCAAACTATCGAGGATATGTTGAGAGCTTGTATGCTGGATTTTCAAGGGTCATGGGAGGATCATTTGGATTTAATCGAGTTTTCCTACAACAACAGTTATGATTCGAGCATACGCATGGCACCTTATGAAGCCCTCTACGGTCAAAAGTGTCGTAGTCCGCTATGTTGGGAGAATCTGGACAATCCGGTAGTGTTGGGTCCGCAATAGTTGCTTGATACAGCTGAGAAAATTAAGCAGATTCAGGAAAGGATGAAAGCGGCTCAAGATTGCCAAAAGTCCTAAGCCGATTTGGCTAGAAGGCAAGTAAAGTTCGCGGTTGGAGATAGTTTTGTTGAAGGTATCTCCCACCCGGGGAGTGATGCGGTTTGGAAGAAAAGGGAAGTTGAGCCCCAGGTTTATCGGTCCATATGAAATCCTTAAGAGGATTGGGAGTTTAGCTTACCGGTTGGCGCTACCCATGGAGTTGGAGCGGGTGCACAACGTGCTCCACGTGTCACAGCTTAAGAAATATGTTCACGACCTGACACATGTTTTACCACCGGAGGTGATTCCGTTAGACGATGACATGTCCTACGAAGAGAGTCTGCTCACGATTCTGGATTACAAGACCTGGGAAACGCGTAGGAAGTCCGTAAAGATGGTGAAGGATTGGTGGACACATCACGGTGTAGAGGAAGCGACTTGGGAGCTGGAGTCAAGCATGAGGGAGTGTTATCCAGAGTTGTTCTCGTCAGGTACCTCATTTCGACGTTTTCTAGTGGCTTGTTGTTGCCTTGTGTACTTGTTCTTGCCAGTTTGTTTAGTGGAGTAGTTAGTTTTGTGGTTGGTGCTTTGAGCTAGTTGTTTAAGATCTAAGGTGTTGGTTAGAAGTTGATAGGTTGTGGTTGGTTTAGAGTTTGATATGCTTTTTATCCCTATTGGTTATATCCTCCAATCCTTGCAATGATATGACTTCTTACATGTTTTTTATGCCTTTTGAATCCTTTGAGTTTTGATCAAAAGAGGATGTTCTTGACACTCTTGTCACATTGCTATTCCATTTCATCGTTTGTTTTAATTCGTCGTACCCAAGCTTCGCGGATGAAGCTTCTTTAAAGGGGGAGAGGATGTGACACCCCGTAATCCAAAATTCAATTAAAGGATTAATTAAGTAATTAATCCTCAACCAATTGGTAATTTAATTCCTTAAATTCATGAAATTCAATAGTCGGGGACTAGTAATTGACTAATTTGATGGTGTGGGCAACTTGCACATAGTTTCTTGAAACGCTCCCAATATTCATACAGGGACTCTCCATCGTTTTGCCTTATACCACATATTTCCTTTCTAATGTTGGCCGCCCTTGAAGCGGGGAAATATTTTTCAAGGAATGATGTCTTTAAGTTATTCCATGTGGTGATGCTTCCGGAGGGTAAATAATATAGTCAATCCTTCGCTGAATCTTTCAACGAAATGGGGAAGGCTCTCAACTTGATTTGTTCCTCAGTAACCCCAGTGGGTTTCATGCTTGAACACACCATATGGAATTCCTTTAACTGTTTGTGAGGATCATCAGCTGCAAGTCCATGAAAAGAAGGCAAAAGATGAATTAATCCAGATTTTAATTCAAATTGTATGTTAGCATCTAGAGCGGGAAAATTGATGCATAAAGGTTTCTAATCTAAATTTGGAGCTCCAAGCTCTTTTAAAGTCTGATTTTGAGCCATGGGTTCCTCTTCTAAATCAGAATTGGTAGAAACGGTAGCCAGATCACTAAACTCCAATTTTCTCAAAGCTTGTTTCTTCCACCTGTGTATAGTTCTTTCAATTTCCGGATTGTACGACAAGATTTTTTTATTAGCATATCGAGTTATAGGCATATATATATATATATATATATATATATATATATATATATATATATATATATATACATATATATATATTGCAGCATTTATGTAAAAGTAACGAAAGAAAATATTTTTTTTAATTTTTTTTTTGGGACAAATGAAAAGGAAATAAACAAATAAATAATTAAATAATTAAATAAACACAAAATAAGCTAGAAAATCTCCCCGGCAATGGCGCCAAAATTTGGCGAGCTGTCGTAGGCTCCCAAATTAAAACCTTACAAACGTAGTAGCGGGAGTAAGTATCGATCCCACGAGGAGTAACTAGTTTAATGTATGTGTTCAAATTAAAGTAAAGGGGGGTTTGGTGTGAAGGTGATAATCAAAGAAAATAAACGAATAAAGCTATGAAAACAATATATTGAAAGCACATATAATAGAAAACCTTGGTTAGTAAAGATCCACCACCAGAATTTAACACTGATCATTGATTCAAAAGGTAATTAATATGCAATTGAATATTTGTCGTGAAATTATTTCATTTCCGTTTTCCCTTAGTTGTAGGTAACTAAAGCACACGCGGTTTAATTACCTCTAACTACTAAATAACCTAAGACAAGCGCTATAGATTTAATTTAATAGCAGCAATAGGAACTAGGAAAACCAACAAACTAAATAACACAAGCACAATCGGTTGCATTTAATTTAGGAAAATATTCTTCCTGAAATCAATTATCACTAAGCCGTCAATAATTAATCTTAGTTGCTACTGAATATTAGAATAATTTGTAGCACAACATTATCTAATATAGCAGATAATTATATCAAATAACTTAGAAGAATATTTAATACCCAAATGCATAAAAATTATATAATAAAATAAATAAATAATCTTACAGCATAATCAATTCCGGGGCTTCAATTCACTAAACCAAGCTAAAGAAATTAGCCACGAATGGACATTGACAACAACTATAAAGAATAATCGAGAGGGGAAGAATGAACATTTTACAATAAAAAAACTTCCTCTATTTATACTACCCCTAAAATAAACTCAAATCAATCTTTACCATCCATTTTCCTCCTTTTGCGCTGAGCCATGAAATCATCCGAAGTTGTCGCTTGTTCTCGCGCCAATAATCAGTCGACGAAGCTTTCTTTCGTTGCTACCTGCGCCTCACATTCTTTAGGTGGAATTAAAACAAAACATTAGTTGGTCTTTGCTGAAGGTTGGGCCACTTAATTCATTTAAATAATATATAATATATAGATATACATATATAATGCATATATATAGTAGTACGTACGTAATATATATGTATATAAGAATGTATTCTTATATAATATATATTAATTATAATTATTAGATACTATTAAATAATTAATGCAAAATTATTATAAACATATACGTAAAATATGAGTATAAAATATGTCTATCAGGGACATTAGTCACCAAGGTACGGCAGTGGTCCTCGTGGTGGCCGTGACACGATTATGGAGATTGTGACCTTTGTGTAAGGTTCACATATTTGTTTCTGGAATAACATGTGTTATCTAGGGCATGTGTTGCCATGTGTACTATGAAATCGGTGGTATTGTTGGAGACTGTCGGAGAGGGGACGATGGTCCTCGGAGGAATAAAGTTGGACTTGGTGTACAGGGGTCCTGGAGCTAAAGGTTGGAACTAGATATAAGGTTTGGGGTAGCCATAAGGTTGCAACCGGGCATAAGGAAGGCATATCAATTCGTGATGGGTGATGTCGCGAAGGCTTGTGTAGCCGTTGTTGTGTAATTCTCTATTTGTGACATGTGTTGTCACAAAGGCATGTGTTGCCGATGGTTGTGTCCTTACTATCTTGTGTTATGCATGCCGGGTGTTAATATACTGTGTGATGGTAGATTATGCCTTGAGCTGTTCTTGCGAGTCGTTATTATCTCTTGTTATCTTGGGATGTGTTCCCTTGTCTTTGTTGCGAGCGTTCAGAGTCTTGTGTTGACTTCTGCTCTTGGTTTTGAACGTGTATATATATATATATATATATATATATATATATATATATATATATATATATATATATATATATATATATATATATATCCTATCTATGTATGATATTTCACATGTATTTGTGCGTTACCAGCATCATTCGCTGACCGGGCGTCGTCCCATATTTTATGTGTTTCTTTCAGGTTCTGAGTAGATGAGAGCGCGGTCTAGAGACTGTTAGCATAGATCCCTTGAACTTGAGACGTTTTGGCCTGTGTGCCGATGTTAGACTTTAGTTATCTTGTCTTTGACTTGTTTCGGATAGTGGATTTTGTGCAGATGTTTACACCTGTGCGTTCACCTTTGGGTGGGCGTGGCATAGCACCCTATATTTCCTATTTATTCCATGTTTAGTCATCCGCTGCGTATTTTATTGTGGCTAGTTATCTGGATGATTAAGGTTTAATTTAGAATGGAATTCAGGGGTGTTACACTAAAATTTACTATGTTTGCTTCTATCTTTCAACAGAGATCAAGAGTGGAGAGGTGAGGGAGCAGATGTAACACCCCCTAATTTCCATGCTATTTAAACCCTTAAACATGCAGATATCTAAACCAAAACATCAAACACAGCGGAAGACTGAAAGAGAAATATATATATATATATATATATATATATATATATATATATATATATATATATATATATATATATATATATATATATATATATATATATATATATATATATAAACTGGAAGGAAAGGGTGCTATGCCACGCTCACCCAGAGGTGAACGCACATGTTAACATCTGCGCTGTTCAAAATCTAAAACCAATATCACAAAGTACTAAGTCTAAATTGGCTCACAGGCCACAAAACATTATGGAGGAGCTACTCTAGCTGGCACTAAACCGCGCACTCGTCTAAACATCACCTGAAAGAAACACATAAAACATGGGATGACGCCCGGTCAGCGAATAATGCTGGTAACCCAACTGTAATTTTGCATTTCCTCTTTTTAAACGGATTAACTGGATTAATCAACTGACGAAATGGACTGACTGATTCAGCGATGAAGTCAGTCAGTAATAACAAATCATAGAGAAGATTATAGAGAAGATAACAGCACAAAAAAACCAAAGACACAGAATGTTTACCCAGTTCGATACAGTGTGTATCTACGTCTGGGGGACGATCACATAGGCGTCCAATCCACTAAATCATAATCCAATGTACAAAGGTAGATATACAGTAATCTTACCCAAGTGCCCCACACAAGGTACATACCCAGTCTACACAGGTTTAGTGGATTTTTGAAGGTGGAGAGCCATGCATACAGAAGTCCAATGAAATCCCTTCACTTGGAAAACCCACTCTGATGCAGTCCACTTCAATGACGCTGTTTACAGTTATTCCCACAACAGTGTGATCACAGTGTCTTTTCGTTTAAGCAGCAGTGATTCTTCTCAAGTTCATCATCTTAATCACCATGAACATGTTGTATTGAGAAGATGCATGATAATCAAAGATCTAATCTCATAAAGCAGATGTGGAATGTTTCTCCTTACTAAAGGCGTAACCCTAATTCTCTTTGAATGCGGGTACTTATAGATCCGTCGATAGAACACTCCTTCCATAGATGTCTTTGATTGTAGATGGTAGGACAATATTTGAAGAATGTAATCTTAAAGATTCGGTCCAAACCTTTCCAAAGCAGATACGCTGATCTTCCTTCCAAATCTGTCTTCAGTAAATCGCGTACAGCTTTTAAGTATTTACCTTCTTAAATCAGATCTTCAGTGCCAGTCCTTCTGTTGTTGCTTCTGATTGATCAGTCATCTGTATAGTTGGACGGACACAAGCTAAACCTATCTTAGTATGCCATAATAATATTGCCAATTATAAGATGGGGTTTTTGAACAATTAAAAACACTAACAAACTCCCCCTTTGGCTATTATTTGGCAAAACAACTCGACTATGTAGATAGACAAAAACATAAAGAACTAAGATAGGTTATCATAAAGAAACAACCCATGAGTCTGATCTGATTACATAGTAGAGCGAAAACAAAACAAAAGATCAAAACACAATTTAAGATCATTCTTCAAAGATGTAGTGGTGCCATCAAAACAATCGCCCAGCCAGGGCCAGAAGGTACACAAACAAAAAACTCCCCCTGCGTTCATACTACTCCCCCTTTTTGCCATCGCAGGTTCAATAGCAGCAGCAGATTCAGATAGGCTTAAACGAAGAAGAACGGTTGCAAGCTCAGTACGAGCCCCTGTCAGTTGTTTAGCAATAATGCTGTGAACTGTCTCAAGGTCAGAGACCCTTGCCTTCAACTGAATGGAGAGTTGAAGATCCTTTGCATGGGGCGAGTCATCAGCCACAGTATCAGGTTCAGAATTGGAGGGGGCAGTCACCGGAATAATATCGCGAATGTGATCTCCAGTCAGAATACGCTTATCAACAGTATAGAGCCGAGTTGGACTGATCACTTCACTCGGCATAGGCTCAAGACCCTGAGTTGTAAGAATGCCATAAATCAGATTCGGGAAGGGTAGTCTTACCTTCGGCTCTCGTGGATGGATCAAGGTGAGGATGTGGTAGTAAATCCAGTTTCCCCGATCAATCGACATCTTTGTTCCAATTCGAAACAAGAAACCTGTCAGATGCTTGCCAACCGTGTGGAAATGAGCTGATGGGAGCCAATTGTGAAGAGCCAGGCGATGCAGAATAACATATTTGGATGTGAGTTAAGAGCTCTGCAGATAATCCTTGTTACCCGTAGGCCAAGTTTCAATTTGACCACCCGTAAGAGTTTTGCCCACCAAGTTCCAGTCTGAGATTGCCTCTTCTTGCACAGTAGTCAGTCCATAGTATTCATTGATCATGTCAGGCCCAAAAATGTACCACTTCCCTCTAATGAAAATCTGCATTGGTCGTGGCCCGGTTAAGATGTCAATCTCGTCATTGAGATTACAGTAGAATTCATACGTGAGGAGCTTTGAGTATGGGCAAATGGCAGTGACAGTCTTCAGCAATCCTACTTCATTCAGCAGAGGTAGAATATCACATACGGAGTTCAGCTGGTTCTCATCCACAGATCGTTGCACAATAAGATCTCTTCTGACCATAGTAGACCATTTGGCCTGAGCAGCAGGGGATATAAACTGAGGCTTGTAAATAGATGTGTCAGATCCTTCAACAGGTTGAACTTCAGGAGTTATGCTTCGACCTCTGGAACGTGTGGATGGTTTCCCCTTTCTAGTAGATGATGTCGGTACAGTAGCAGATTGAACCGCCGTAGGGCCCTTTTGTTTAACAAACGATCTCAGTGTCTTGATCACTTGTTGAATAGGTGGATTACCTTCAGATTTGACGGTTTCACTAGACTTCCTTCTCTTCTCAGGCTGATCCACATCAGCACTGTCATCACCGGTCTCAACAACAACTTTCACTGGTACATTCTTCCTTTTAGACCTTCTCGTTTCTTTGGTTGGGGATTGAACAGGAGTCACAGAATGACTAGAATCAGAGACAATAGCAGATGAGTTCCCAATAAGATTTGTAATCTCTCGAATTTGGAAGGTGGTGGAATCAGGATGAGCTGTGGCCTCAACTGTCGGATCCGTAGATGCATGAGTTTGGGTACCATACACTTCAGCGAGGATCTTATCATCTTCACTCGAGGATTCCGAAGGGTGAATCACTCTGTAGGGTTCTGGAATGGAGGCAGCAGGTAGACCAGCAAAGTGCCTAACTTGTTCAAGACTCTCTGCCAAAGATGAGGAGGTGTAGACCAGAATACCAACCATATTCGTGGGTTCACGGGGGCTTGAGGGTTTCACATTCTCAATCACAGCAGGCACATAGAGGGATTAACAGAAGAATCGACTTCTTGTGTGACATCAACAACAACAGCAGGAGACAGAGCAATATTATCAGTATCAAAAACGACAATACTTAGATTGTTGGGTTCATCAAACGGTTTGTCCTCCTCTACAGATGCTTTAAGAGACTCATTATGCAAGGGATCAGACTTCTCAACAGATAAGCAAGGAGGATCAACAGATACAGATGGTTTTTCAGAGACTAAAGCTGGCACATTCTCAGAATCAACATGAACAATAGATGGGGTAGCATTAGACACCAGATTCGCAGGTTTATCAGGGGAAATTTCTATAGGAGAGTCAGAGGAATTTGACCTGTTTCGCAGAATCTCAATGCGATATCTAGCTTCATTCTCCGCAGCCGGAAGATACAGGGGTTGAGCAATTTCTCGACGACGGGAGATTTCTTCATACTCAAGGGCTCTTTGAGCAAAGTAATGGAGGAACGCCCCAGCACGATTTCCATCCGAGGGCTCTGGAATAGACGCCGGAAAAATATCATCACCTGCTTCGGAGGCCAGCAGCAAAAGTTCACCGGTGTCATCGTCGGACCAGTCGGCATAAAACTCAGGATAATCGGACAGTACAGTGACAATGATTTCGTCGCGGAGAAGAGGATCAAGCTTCAATTTTTTCTTCATAGCCAACAGAAGCAAGGTTTTGACATGTTTGGTTGCTGTTCTTGTGAATGCACCTTTCTTCCAAGCTTGATGATCATATTACGAACTGCATCCGTCATTGATGAGAGATTCGAGAAGATGAAGAAGTAAACCCTAGATAGGCGATCAAGGAGAATACAGTCTGTGCGTAGAGAGAGAGTCTCTTGTTCGTTCTCTCAAGACTTACTCGATACGCGATTATAAACCCAAGGGAGAAGAACCCCAATAAATGCAGCTAGTCAGAATAAATGCAGAGATGATGTGATTGACGCAATGGTATACCTCCTTTTTAGGTAAGAAACGGAAGCTAGGCATATTTCAAATTTGAAAAAGCCTAATTACTTTTATGGTAAATTAGGTTAAGATATTTTCTTAACAAAAATGAAGGGAGTTTTAGAAAGAAGTCAAAACTGAAATTTGACCAGAATACATAAACCTTGCACTCTCCTTCTGAGTGACGATCTGCCCTATTAGTCAATTCTGCAGATTCCCAGAGCAGATCTGAGAATCTCAAACCGGTTTGCGTCTAGGGGCTTAGTCAGGATATCAGCCAACTGTTTCTCTGTTTGAATATATTCCAACTCAATCTCCTTTGATTCTACCAGGTCTCTGATGTAGTGATGCCTTATATCAATATGCTTTGTTCTGGAGTGTTGAACTGGATTCTTTGAGATATTAATAGCACTGACATTATCACAATAAAGTGTCATAATTCCTTGAGTAAGGCCATAGTCTAATAACATCTGTTTCATCCATACTAACTGAGTACAACATCCACCAGCAGCTATGTATTCTGCCTCTGCAGTACTTAAGGAAATCGAGTTCTGTTTCTTACTCAGCCATGACACCAAGTTCTTACCAAAAAAGAAGCAACCACCAGATGTGCTTTTACGGTCATCAATGTTCCCTGCCCAGTCAGCATCACAGTATGCAATCAGACTCAGTTCATTGTCCTTGGAGTACCATAGACCATACTGAATTGTTCCTTTTATGTATTTCAGAATTAGTTTAGCAGCTATGAGGTGTGATTCCTTTGGATCAGATTGATACCTTGCACATATTCCAACACTAAACATTATGTCTGGTCGACTAGCCGTCAAGTACAACAGACTTCCTATCAGGCTTCGGTAGACTGTGTTATCCACTGATACGCCAGTGTCGTCTTTGGAAACTTTTATGGAGGTGGAGATCAGTGTCCTGGATGGTTTGCATGATTCCAGATCAAACTTCTTGACTGAATTCTTAGCATATTTCTCTTGTGAAATAAAGTACCCTTCAGAACTTTGCTTAACTTGAAGTCCTAGGAAGTATGTCAGTTGACCAACCATTGACATCTCAAATTCTTCCTTCAAAACTTTTACTAACTCATCTGTGTATTTCTGTAGAGTTTATCCAAATACAATGTCATCCACATAGATCTAAGCAATGGTGACATGACTCCTAGTAGTTTTTACGAATAGAGTTTTGTCAACACTCCCTCGTTTATAACCATGCTGTAGCAGATACTGAGTCAGTCGTTCATACCATGCCCGTGGGGCTTGTTTGAGACCATAGAGAGCCTTTCTAATCTTGCAGACATGTGATGGATATTCTGGATCTTCAAATCCCTTAGGTTGTGCCACATAGATATCTTGATGCAGGTTCCCATTCAGAAACGCTGTCTTGACATCCATCTGAAACAATGTAAATCCCAGAATGCATGCAATAGCTAGCAGAATTCTGATTGACTCTAGTCTATCCACAGGAGCAAATGTCTCATCATAGTCAATCCCTTCTATCTAAGTGTACCCTTGTGCCACTAACCGAGCTTTGTTCCTGGCAATATTCCCAGCTTCATCAGTTTTATTTTTGAAGATCCACTTTGTTCCAATTATGTTGACACCATCAGGTCTTGAAACTAGATCCCAAACATGATTTCGATCAAACTGATGTAGCTCCTCCTGCATTGCCTTGATCCACAGATCATCCTGTAAAGCTTCTTTTACATTCCTGGGTTCTATCTAAGAGGTATAGCAAGCAGACCCAGATATTTCTATCAGATTATTTCTTATTCTGCTCCTGGTCTTCATCCCATCTGTTGGATTACCAATGATGTTATCTGATGGGTGATTTTTCTGAGTTCTGGTGGGTTTGTCTTTACCTGTATCATTTATGTTATTTGTATCCTGTTCTGAACTTTCTTGATCTTCATCTGAGGATTCTTGTGATTTGGGCTGACTGTTGCTGTCTGCAGTATTTGGTTCACTGAGAGGAAGCTTTGTCACTGGATCTGTCACTGTTGTGTCTACTGATTCTTCTGGACAGTCATCTATAACCACATCTACTGATTCCATCATAGATTGAGTTCTCTTGTTTGGAGAGTATCCAAGGAAGATGCTCTCATCACTCTTAGGTTCAAACTTCCCTCTTTGTTCTCTATCAGCCAGCACATAACACTTTGTCCCGAACACATGAAAATACTTCAGGTTTGGCTTCTTTCCCTTCCAGATCTCATATGGTGTTTTGGTCGTTCTTGGTCTGAGATAAACCCTATTTACAGTATGACAGGCTGTGTGTACTACTTCAGCCCAGAAGCGCTGCGGCAGATGAGAGGCACGTAGCATAACTCTAGCCATTTCTTGTAATGTTCGATTCTTTCTTTCCACCGCACCATTCTGTTGAGCAGTTTTAGGAGCTGAGAACTCGTGTGACATACCGTGCTCGGAGCAGAAATCTGAATATAGTGAATTCTCAAATTCTTTTCGATGATCACTTCTCAGTCTCTGAACTTTTATTATAGACTCATTCTTTTCCTTCTGAATCCTTATGCACATAGTTTTAAAGGCCTCGAATGCTTCTGATTTTTCTCTTAGGAAGTATACCCAGCTGTATCGAGAGTAATCGTCTACAAACACAAATATGTATTTCTTTCACCCAATGCTTTCAGTCTGTGTTGGCCCCATGAGGTCTATGTGAACAAGATCTACACATTTCTCAGTGGTGATGCCTCTTACTGCTTTGTGCGGAGTTCTGATTTGTTTCCCAATAGCACATGCACCACAGACTTTTTCCAGATCTATTCTGATCTTAGGTACACCTTTCACAGCTTCCAGTTTTATCAGCTTATCCATATCTCTGAAGTTTACGTGACCCAGTCGTCTATGCCAGAGTTTTGATTCATCAGACTGGGAAAGGTGACATGCAATTTCATTTGCCAAAACATAACAATTGTCTGAGGACCGGGTTCCTTCCATGACAAGTTGATTAGCTTTGCCACTAACTCTGCAGCAGTTACGATCGAAGCACACATTCCAATTTTGATCACACAACTGACTGATGCTAATCAGATTAGCTTTCAACCCACTGACTAACAGAACTTCTTCTAATTGAGGCAGACCTGGTACGTTCAGGGTACCTTTCCCAACTATTTTCCCTTTTTGTCCATCTCCATATGTTACAGCTCCACTGCTTGGTTGAACAGCCATCAGACCCTTTACATTTCCAGTCATATGTCTGGAACAGCCACTGTCGAAATACCATCTAGCTTCAGTTGTAGACGCAGTCAGAACTATAGTGAGATAGCATATAACTTCTGACTTTCTGACCCAAACCTGTCTAGTAAACGGTGTAATAGTCTTGTTCTGATATTTTTCCTTCCTTTGATCTCTGTAGAAAAAATAACATTCAGGCCGAGTATGACCTTTTGTTTGACAGTAGTGACAAATGGGAGTGTAATGTCTAACTCTGACAAGCTTATTTTTGAACCTTGAATGATGAGATTGATGCGTTACTTTGGCAAGGTCAGTATCTGCAGTATGGTCATATCTCCTTCTCTTGTCAATTTTCTGCACTAACCGAGATGACTGTCCTTGTTTAAAGCTGTGAACTACTGTGGTCTTAAACATACCCTCTTTGACAAACATAGGTTCATTATTCGAAGATTCACCTCGTTCAAATCCAAGACCCTTTTTATCATTAGGATTTCTGCCAGAGTCTAGAATCTTGTCTAAGGTTGATGTGGTGTCCATCATCTGGATATTTTTCTTCAGACCCTCCAACTCTTTTATCAGTTTTCCTTCTCTGGATCTTATCCGAGTGATGAGATCTTCTTTTATGTCAAGGTCTGTATTCAATTTTTTTAGAAGATCATCCATTTGCTTCAGCTCGTCATTCAGATTTTTATTGACTTTCACAAGTTGTTCCCAGCTTGCAACAAGTTTAGCAAATTCTATCTCAAGTTGAGTATGTCTCTCTTCAAAATCATCAGTTGATATGTAAGATTCTTCA